TATTCTTTGCAGGATATTGTGAGATCACATCTTTTTATTTTACACTCAGACCACTTTCTATTTTTTCCTTTTTATTTTTTTTTTTGGAAGAGCTGTTGAAAATGGCAAGCAAATAAATGCCTTTTTTCCTTCACTTCTCTGAGATAAAACCTGAAAATGGCTATAAAATGGGAGGATATGATTTAATATAATGCCTTTTCTAATTCAAATGACAGCTAGTTTTTCTGAGCAAAAGTGCGCCTCATCTTGGTAATAGCATTCAAAGCATGAGTAGATTATAATATATCATGGCATATAGAGAAGTCTGTGCATTAGTTCCAGGAATGTTGCTAAGAAATATAAATAACCAATATTCCTAGTTGCAAGAAAGCATAAATAATCCCCACTCCAGGCAAAGCCTAGTTATGAATTTTTAAATTGATGATTTTTTTCTTAAATACCTGTTTTCTAGGTAGCACTTAAATCTATACTGCATATAAATACATTTTCAGTGATGTGCACAGTGCACAGGGCCTGAAAGCTCTTTCTCAGACTATTAATGTATAGTACATGATGATGATGATGTTTTCAGGGCATTTGGTGTGATGAAACCTTTTTATTCATCAGCATTCCATGCTGCTCGGTTAGGCAGAGTCTTGTAGAGAACGTGTTTGGAGTGATGCTGTCTGGAGCACTGCACTGAGGAGGTGGGGTACAGGGACAGTGAAGAGCCAAGAGGCACAACCTCGGTGGAAAGGTGTAGAGACTTATTTGGTGAGTAACTTTTCAGAAAAAAGGCAACCAGTGTTGCGTGGAGCAGTGCTGTTAGAGCCTATGAGGTAGGAAGAGTGGGGGAGAGGTCAAGTCCCTCCTAAGCCACCTTGCACATGCCTACTGCTGCAGACCTGTGCTGTCCCATACAAGAGCCATTAGCCACATGTAACATTTGAGCATTTTAAATGTCCAAGTTAAGGTAATGCTTTAAGTGTAAAATGCTGGTTTTCAAAGATGTATTGTGGAGGAATAAAAGGATGTAAAATATTTCATTGTTCTGGTTTAGATCTGAGATCTCTCCTCAAAGCCTCTTGTGGTGATATAGCTGACTTGTTAGCCCGGTCAAAGGAGACTGATCAGGTATAACCTGGAGAAGTACAGCACCTCTCTGGCTCTTTCCTCCTTGCCTCTGTGACTTTACTCCTTGTACTGTGACTTGAGTAGCTTTCCTCAATTATGCCCTTCTGCCATACTGTTTCTGCCTTGGAGCTGCTGGACATGGACTGTAACCAGAGGCCAAAATAAACCACTTCTCCTTTAAGTTGTGGGTGTCAGGTATTGTATCTTAGGGACAAGAAAGTGAGGAAGACCATCATTAATATTTATACTGAGTGTATATGCAAATGATAATATAATAACTTATTTTTATAAGTTTTAAATATAAATGTTATCTTTTAGAGCAATTTTGGATCACAGCAATACTGAGCAGAAAGTGTACACTTCTCATGTACCTCTTCTTACCAAATAGGTATAGCCTCCCCACCATCAATACCTTGTACCAAGGTAGTGCATTATAGTTATTGAATCAAAATTAACATATTATCACTCAGATTTCATAGTTTTCATTAGCATTCACACTCAATATTGTATGTTCTATGAGTTTTTTTTTTTCATTTGTTTGTTTGTTTTTCCCAGTACTGGGAATTGAACTCAGGACCTCGTGCTTGCAAGGCAGGCATGGTGCCACTGAGCTAAATCCCTGGCCTTGTTCTATGAGTTTTGACACATGTATGACATATATCAACAATTATAGTACTATACAAAATACATTCACTGCCTAAAAATCCTTTGTGCTGCACCTCCTTACTCATTTGTCCCTCCTTTCACACTGCTGGCAACTACTGATCTTTTTAACTGTCTCTGTAGATTTCCCTTTTCCTGGAAAGTTGTGTAGTTGGAATCATATAGTATGTGGACTTTTCAGATTGCCTTTTTTCACTTGGTAATATACATTCAAGTTTCCATTATGTAATTTCTGGCTTGATGTCATTTCTTTTTAGTTCTGAATAATACTTCATTTATGGATATACTACAGCTTATTTATCCAATCATATTTGCTTAGTGAGAAGTAGCCAGACCCCCTTGGGCCTTGGCTGCAGCTGCCTGTCAGTGTCTGGACGTCTGAATACTGAAATGAATCTTGGAAAACCAATTCCTTAGCAGACCCTTCTTGAGCAGGGTTTTCTCTAGGGATTCTCTAGGGTTTCTCTTCTCAAATGAAAGCTTGACACTTTTGTACCCTATGGTGGGTAGGGTCTTGCTGATTCCTGAGATGCCTAGAGTCATCTTCCTTTTTATGACTGCACAAAGTACTTGGTTTATTTTTAACAATGATAATCTCTTCAGTGACCATACTTCCATTGGCCTCAATTTTTCACATGTTCTTTCTGGGCCAAAATTTCAGTTTTTCAAGTTTTTTTTTTTTTGCTTTGCTTTTTACTCCTGGTTCTCACCATAAAGCTGTCTAAAAGAAGCAAGCAGTACCAATACCTAGAATGTTGGGCTGTTTTGAAATTTCATTTGCTAGATCAGTTAGTCCATCACCTTAGTTTCAGTCTCTTGGCAAAGTCTCAGGACCTGGGCAAAATGTAGATAGATTTTCTGCCAGAGTGTAACACATAAGGCCTTTAGTCCAACTTCCCATAATCTTTTCCCCAGCTGAAACCTCCTGAATCTGGCCTTTAGTGTCTGCATTCCTGTCAGCATTGGCTCAGCTTACAGCTTTCTAAGGCTTCTCTAGCTCACATTTCCAAACTTTCCAAATGCTGACTTCAAATGAATTCTAAAGGGTTCTAAACTATATCACCATGAATAATCATGGCAGGGGCTCCATTCCAAGTACCAATTTTCTGTGTTAGTTAACTTTCCTATTCCTGGCATATACCATTTAAAGAAGGAGAGGTTTGATTTATCTCATGGTTTCAGGGGATTCAGAATGTGGTTGGTAGGCTCCAAGTTGGGAACATCATGGTGAAAGTATGTGGCAGAGTAAAGGTGATTACCTCATGGCCAGGAAGCAGAGCGCTTGGGGGGGCAGCGCAGAGAGGAGCAATTGAGGGACCAGATGTAGACCCCCAGGTCACATCTCCATGACCCACCCAGACACACCCAGAAGCGTTTTTTCCACCAACCCCTAAGGCAGATCACGGAGCCAATTGAGTTGACACTCCACCCTAACCACCACAGTTGCTAAGATGAGCTTGCACGTTTTTTGATCCTCCTGCCTCAGCCTCTCACAGTGCTGGGATTACAAACATGTGCTACCATGCCTGGCTCACTGTATTTTTTTAAATGTGATTAATAGAATAAAATTACATATTTGCTTAATGAATTTCTATTGAACAGCTCTGCTCTAGACCTTGGAAAAACAGTGTTATCAATAGAGCTTATCTTTAAAACAACCTTTCCATTCCAACACCTAACCAAATTTTATTGCCAAAAGCAAGGAGCTCTTCTCTAGAGTTTACCTGCTTTGGCTTGTGACCTCTGCTGGCCAATACTACTTGGAATTGCCATGCTTCTCTACCCCTGGCCCCCACCTCCCAACTGAGACATAAGTCATTTGATTTGTTTTGTCCAGATTGGGTGACAGTTCACTACTTCAGTCTTTTATCACAGTACTGTGTTCTCTGGAACAAATAAAAAATGTTCCCAGGTAGCTTTATTGCAATAAAAAGTTTTACTTAGAAGAGATGAAACAGCATTACAAGTTAAAAACTTTTTTGGTAGGATACTTAGAGTTTATCTGACTTTGCATTTATATGAGCAAATAATATATTAATAATGTTTCTGAAAATTAATTGGAGTAGGAATTCATACATTTATAATCTGACTTATTCCTCTTTTATGTTAGATCTCTTTGTCTTATACATTCTTAATGGGAGCAATAGTGCAAAAAATTGGTTCTTAACATGGGAATATTTCCCTTTGAATGTGTGTCTAGTTTATGGCCATATATCACCCTGAACGCACCTCGTCTAAACGTGTGTCCGGTACAAGCCCAGAGATACAGTACATTTGTGAATTAAAGTCTCTGATGGTGGGGGTGAGTCTAGAAATATTCCTTGAGGGTTTGTCATGAAAGGTTGTAAACACCTATTTAGGTATAGTGGCCATTTCTAGAGTATGTGCAAAACAATTGAACTTTAAAATTTAGATCAGTTACTCTTCAAAGTTTCCCAAGGAGGTAAAGGAGTACAGACAAGGATGTAGAAAGGTTTTCTACAGGTTAGGATAGAGGGAACAGCTGGGGAATGGCAAAAATACATCTAACCACTTTACAATTGTTAGCATTTTGCCAAATTCACTCACTTTCTCCTCTTCTTCCCCTTCTCTTTCCCTCTCTTTCTTTCTCCCTCCCACCCCTTCTCTCTCTCTCTCTCTGTCTCTCTCTCTCTCTCTCCTTCCTCCTGTCTCATTTTCCTTCTCTCCTTCTTTTTCTTCACTTCCTTTCTTGTTCCTCTCCCTCTCTCCCTTTATTCCTTCTTTTTCTTTCCCTCTTTCCCTCTCTCTTTCTCCCCCTGAATGTGTTTAGTACCTGTATATGTATTGTCTTTGTGAAGAATATATGGATGCTCATTGCATTATTTTTTCAAATGTTTTCTAAGTGTGAAAAATTTCAAAATAAAATGTAGGGCAAAAGACCATCCATCATTCTTCTCCACACCCTATTTCTACTCACCTGTAGTTACTCTGGGCCCCTACTGAATCTAACCTTTTGCATTATTGACCTTCTTCATGGAACCTATCTTGTCTTGCCCTTCAAACACAGAAGGGTAACTCACAGAAGTCCTTTAGTTTCACTTCCTTAGGAAGTCTTCTACCACACAACACACACATGTCTGGGCTAAAACTCTCAAATACATTCCCTTTATTGTAATTATCCTCATCATTGCTCTTGTCATATAATGTTATGCCTGACTATTAAACTTGTCTGTCTTCATTAGACTATGATTTTTTTCCTACAGATTTTATTACCCTGCAACATAATGCTTTACCAAGAACTATGATGTCCTTCACATACACTAATCCACTCAATCTGGCAATGACGATAGAGAACACTTCATCAATCTACTCTTGAAAGTGAAGAAACTTCCAACAGAGACCAAGCAACTTGCCTGAATTCATCAGCTAGTCATTGAAATACAAATAGAATCTAGATCAATGAAGCTATATTTCTACACTCGTGCTCCTTGACTCATGAGGGGCTATGGCCCAATAAACTCATCCTAAGTTGACAATATTCAAAGTGGATATGCCTTTGATGTACCTAACCTACTGACCTTCCTGCCTCAGCAGCTCAGCACACCACTTCGGAGAATCCAGGTGAGTGGCTTTCTAATTGTTTGACCTCATTGACCCCTGGGTTTGACCCTGACAATCTGGAAGTCTGGGATTACATCTTGTTAAGTGTCTTCTCATTTTTCTTTTTAGTTTAATTCCTACGTTGATGCTTGTAAATTGCTTATGGCAGGTAGCTTTATTGTTAGTATTGACAACCCTTAGAAAATGATTACTTCTCAGAGATGTCTTCCACATATAGCTGGCTTTTGGATTTTGAATCTGTTGCAAGACCCCACCTCTTCAATTTATTGGGAACGAGAAATTGGTGCCTATTTGGCCTAGTCTCTGGTTCTTTGGCACTGGCTGCTTACAGTATTGTTGATGATCCTTAGGCAATCTCAGTCTTGCCACACCAGGAAGAACAACTAATTAGAACAATTATGTCACCTTGGCTAAAATAGTACAATCAATAACATATCATTAAACACAGCCTAGAAAATGACAAACTGTGGTAACTATTAATTAGCTATGTTTAACCATGCTAACTAGATTTGTGATTGTATAACAAAATCTAAAACCAGAGAATTGTACACATTAGATTTGTCTTCAATATGGTGATTTTTACCCTCAAGAGAGACAATTTAAAAGGGGTTAGGGGGAAAAGTAGAGAAATAGAAGAAGAGGGAGAGATTAGAAGCAAGGCGGATGGAGGATGGAGGATGAAGGAAGATTGTGCAAGTTTTGGGGAAGTGGTGAAGATAGGAGGTAAAAAGAGAAGAAAGAAAGCAAAACAAGAACAGAACAGCAACAATAACAAAAACTAGAGACAGTGTTCACACATATAAAAACTAGAACAATCAAGAATAAAAAGAAAAGAAAAGAAGAAAAGATGACTTCAGGGCGTGTCTCTGCTGTCACTGGTAGACAGATTGGGCAGAGCCCAGATCCATGTTGATTAATCCCAGCAGACCAGCAGTAGATTTATGGTGGGGTAGTGAATGATCCTAGAAAGCCTGTACCTTTAGCTTCAGCCTGAATTTGAAGCTGGTTTTTGGCCGTGAGGCTGGAGCCTGATTTGTTTAGCTTGCCAAAGTTTGAGCTTGGTTTCTTGACCTCCGCTGATTTGTAGTCCCTGGTACTAGGAGCCACTAGATAGGCCATTCTGTAGCTGCTTTAAATTCTGAACTCAGTTGGCCCCTCTCCAAGATGGCAACTGGCCAATCATCCTCTCCTGGGAGGCATCTGAAGCTGAAGGATTCACCAGCCACTACGATCTGCTCTGTTCCACTGGTGCATTTCTCTGTGGAGGCCTTTGGGGTCACCAGTAGTAACCATGCTTCTGTAGGTTTCAGCTGCCCCTCCCACATTCTAAGCCAGGACTCAGGGAGGAAATATCTCTTGCCACCTCCTTCTTCTGTGTTGAGGTCCCTCTGTTCACTCTCCCAGTAGGCTCAAATTGTCACTTCAGATCCTTGCTATGTCCCAGGGACCCAATTTCCGTCTTTTTCTCTCTCTTTTTGTGACTGTGTTCTAGCATCTGGACACCAAATCTCAGAGAGGCTGTTTCTCTGCTATTCACCACTCCGTCATCTTCCTTGAAATCCCCTGGACTGTGAATTCTTTAGAGGCAAGGACTATGACTTACTCATTTCCTGTGATCTGTAGCCACTCTGGGCTTTCTCATGATGTTTATTATATAAAGCAATAATTACTTTTTCTATGAGGTACATAGTTGTTTTATATAATTCCATTCAAAAGGAAAACCTTTAAAAAAGAAAAAAAAACAACACCTTGATGTTTTATTTGACTTGTAGTGTTTTACTACTGATAACAGTATTTATTTCAAATTAGACTTTCATAAAATATTAAAAATAGTGTCCAGATCCCTATTATTACCCTTGTAAAAGTCTTCATGAAATCTCCCTGACTCTCCCAAGGAAAAATTTTTGGTTGTTTCTCTCAGCTCCAGCAGAGCCCTGTTTCTGCCTGTATATTATAGCACTCTACCAGGATGCATGGTGGTATGGAGGAAAAGGTGGAGTAGAAAGGCTACAAAGATAAAAAGAATTGTTTTTTAAGATTTTGGAGTTTAGTGATATAGCCTCATGATCAATAATGATAGTTTTCCCCCATATTTGTATCTATTTTTGTAGTTTACAATACAATTTCACATCTTTTAATTCTCACAAAGGCCCTGTGAAGTAGTCAACTTTCTCTCTCTGTGACAAAAATATCTGGGACAATTAAGGAGGAAAGTTACTTTGGTTCACATTTATGGAGTGTATTAGTCAGCTTTCCCTTCAATGGGACAAAATACCTGACATCCATAACTTAAAGGAGGAAAGGTTTGATTTAGCTCAGGGTTTTGGGAAATTTAGTTTTGGTTGCCTGGCTTCAAGGTAGAAAAGGCATGGTAGAGGAAAGCTACTTAATGCATGGCAATCAGAAAACAGAGAGAGAGCAGTAAGGGAGGAGCCAGAGGCAAGTCCATGGTCATTTGGCCCTGTTGATTTGGGCCTCTGCTGGCACAATGTGTAACAGTGGGAGCATGGAGCAGAGGAGGTCTGTTCACTTCCTGGCAGCCAGGAAGCAACAACAGATACAGGAAGGGGTTGAGGGACCCAAATCTCCTTCAAGTACACATGTTTAATGATCTGGCTTCTTTTCTACCTTTAGGGGACATTTAAGATTCAAATCACAACATACCACTTTTTATTTATACATTTGTAGTACATACGATTACATTCATCTTGGGGTGTTGCTACATGTATATGACATATCTTATTTCTTTTTAAAATCCCCTTCCCCTTCTCCATCTCCCTCTTCTTCCATCTCTTGGATCCCTTCATGTACACACACACACACACACACACACACACACACACACACACAGTTGTTTTTGGCACATGTTTGTAGTACATAATTATCATGCTCTTCATATCGACTTGGTACATGTATATAACATATCACAATTTCTTTTTTAAAAAATCTCTTTTCCCTCCCCTTTCTCTGCTTCCTCCATCTCTTAGTTCATTTCCATATGCTAAAGATCTTCAGTGGACCCTTGACTTACAAACTCAATTAGTTCATGAGGGCTGGTTGTAACTCAAGTTGGTGAATTGGAGGCTCAGGCTCCTCTACAGAGCCCTCATAGCCTCTCTCTCCTGTATAATTTTAGGCCACACTTTTTTCCAGGCAGATCTCAGTGTCCTTAAAGAGATATTGTCCCAGGATTTCTCAACCCCACACAGGAAAGGACATTGTAATATTCCTTTCAGAAGTCTTTAAGGGCTGTATCTGTATCTGAGACCATCTGGAAACACAAGTGGCTGGCATTTGGGTTGTAACTCAAGACTTTGAACATAAGTTAAAACTAAAATTCTGGTCGTAACCCTTGTTCATATGTCAACCCAGTCATAACTTGAAGGTTCATTATATCTTGCTATTTCTTATTGTCTATCTTTTATGTTGTTCTTTGTTTGTATTTCGGGTTTCTCATATAAGGGAAACCATGTGACATTTAAACTTGTATGTCTGATTTATTTCATCTAACATTATGGTCTCAGAGTTTATCCATTCTCTACAAATGACTCAACATTTATCCTTTTTTATGGCAGAGTAGTACTTCATTGTGTATAAATACCACATTTTTATTATCTGTTCATCTGTTGATGGACAGATAGGCTGCTTCCAAGATTTAGTTATTGTTAACATTCTATTTTAATAATGATGTTGTTGTTCCTGCAGTACTGGGGATTGAACTCAGGGCTTTGGGTGTGCTAGGCAAGCGCTCTGCACTGAGCCAAACCCCCAGTCCAATGATGGTGTTAATACAAACCAGAATGTACAATGAAAGTAAGAGATTCTCTTTTCTCTTTTCTCAGATGTTAGGAATTTCCTCATATCTAGGGTCTAATAATTTGAAATCTATAGCTCGTTACCAAATTCTACAACACCATTCCTTTATAAAATTTTGTAGATACAGGGCCAGGGATTTAGCTCAGTAGTGCTGCTGCCTGCCTCACAAGGTCCTGAGTTCAATCCTCAATCCCCAGTACCAAAAATAATTATGTAGATATAGCCTGGGGTACAACTTTACCTTTCAACAGCAGGAAATACAGTCTTATTACCTCAGATTGAAAATTTCTCGTGAAAAATATGGGAATAGGTCAAAGCAGGTGCTTTTCTAATTTAGTACATCCTTAGGTATAAAACCCTATAGATTTACCCAGGACAAAGGCTAAGATTGCAACTATATAGCATATGTGTGCAATGGATGAAAACTAGAGCATTTACAGATGTAACCATTATTGGAGGGGTAGATTTAGAACTAAATTTTTCAATATGAAATTTTAAATTGTCAGTAATTTTTATTGTGGGGACATATCTAAGTTCCTTTGCACATTATTAACTGAGTAAAATTGAGAAGCACCTGGGGTTTTTTGTTTGTTTGTTTGTTTGTTTGTTATGGTGCTAGGGATTGAATCCAGAGCCTTTTCACTGAGCTACATTCCAAGCCCTTTTTAATTAAAAAAAAAAACATTTTTTGAGACAGTCTTGCTATGTTGCTGAGGCTGGGCTTGAACTTGAAATCCTCCAATCTCAGTCTTCCAGAGTGCTGGGATTATAGGCCTGCAACACTATATCTGGCAAGAATCACCCATTTGTCTTAAAAGATTCTTGCATTATTTGGCCCACTAGTCAAGTAGTTGTTTTGTCTCTCTAGATCCCATCAAGAATATCTCCTTCCCATCTTTGTTCAGGAACAAGACTGATTGGATTAGGCCAACCATCATGCCATATTGACTTGGGAAAAACCAGTTCTTCTATTTTTCAACACTATCACTTTGAACTAGGCCTAAAAGATGCTTGCTTTTTTCCTCCTAAAGCAAATTACTTGTATTCCCACCATGCTTCAAAAGAGTGGTTCTTGGGTCACAAATCAAAATCAACTAGAGGCAGGAAGATTAATTGAGAGGCTAGGGCAATTGTTCACTTGAGTGCTAATGCAAATTTGATCAGAGTCCTGCAACCTCTTCTTT